GCCTGGAGAGTTGGGGTCTGCTCGCACGCCTGATCTCCTTGAGGCTCTACTCCACAAAGGGAAGCATGTCGTAATACCTCCCACTACCCTGACTGACTATAGTAGCTGTTCATTGTAGGTAGGTCTCTAACCTCTGAATGAGACCTTGCACTAAGGTAGAGTCCGCCGACGAAAACCCTTGGCCTGATGTAGCCGAGAGAGGGGGCACTCCGGTCGCCTCATCTTCATCAAAAATAACGATGACCTCAGACCATTGGCAGTAAGCATCCTCCCCCACAGAGAGAAGGGCCTTTCCATAGGATATCCGGGCTAGAGCTACAGGGCACAAAAAAGGGGAATTAGAAATCTAGAACCCAGACAACGGAAGTCCTCCTAAAGATGCACTGCTCGATTAAGGGAGCCAAACTCGCCTACAGAGAGTAGGGGCTTGCTGAACAAGCAGGGCTAACTTAACTCACTGAACCAGCTAGACCCTACTGAAGGCGAAGAGGAGCGACAAACGCTCGTCTCCTCCCTTGAAACCGATTTAAGTCCCCTGGATTCTCAACTTACCTTGCCGGGTTTGACTGGCGATGGGGGAGACGATCGTCACAACGGTGTCGTTGATAACGACGGTGATAGGAACTGCCCCCTTCCCCTTCGAGGCGCGTGGTCTCGTCATAAAGGCCATCTCGCGAGTGAAAGAAGCATACGAATTACCTTTGAACGAAGCTTCAAGAGCGCGAACAGTCTCCAAGAGTAGGATGAGATCTATATAAGTGGTAGTTTGATGGTCGAGATCCGCTAACTCGAAGAGAGCGAACGACTTTAATTCTTCGTGGCGGTTCGATTTTAGTGGCCACGAAAGCCCCGACCTTTGGGATCCCAAGCCAACGGCTCGGATTAAATGCGTAAGATGAAGCGTTCCGTCACTTCACATTCAATGCGAGGCGGTGTACCCATGTCGCCTTAGCTGGCGAGTACTAGGGTCCACAGAGGGACGCATGGCTTACTTATCCCGACGTCACCTGTTGCAGAAAGTTCACCTGAACATTCGAGTTTTCCTATTGCTACGAACTCACCTAAGCTTGACTTCGCCTACAGCATGAACTCGCTTAAGCTTGAGTTCGCTTACTGCATGAACTCGACTAAGCTTGAGTTCTCCTATGGGATGAACTTGCCTAAGCTTGAGTTCGCCTACGGCATGAACTCGCCTAAACTTGAGTTGGCCTACGGCATGAACTCGCCTAGGCTCGAGTTTGTTAGCCCTTATGTTTTGATGATGTTCTTACAACCACCATTATCGGTACTAATGGCTTATTGAGTGTAAATGTAGTAAGTTCATTTATCAAGCTCGTTAGTGCCATAAACGGAGGATGGATGGAATATACGCTACAACGATGATATCCAAAGGAGGAGGAGGCTAAGAGATGAAGCAACGTCACTTCAAGAACGTCAAATTCGAATACAAGCTTCATCCGATTCAAGCTATATCAAAGCTCAAGTATTGTTCTTTATATATGAGGATATTAGCTTTCTTTTGTTTCTCTCTCTAGTGTTAGAATGTAGGCAAAGAGTTACTGATTTTACTTGAAGCTATTGGGAATCACACACACACGATTTCATACTTAGGTTTTTAAGCGTTTTTCACAAAATACTATTTTTCATAAGTATGATGACCTATCTGCAAAATTCCTTTTTCTAAACAGTTTGGTTTTAGTATTAAAAACACTTTACAAAGTTTCAGATTTTTCAGGGGTCAAATAAATATTTTGCAAATATTTAAAGTTGGTCAAAAACTGTTTTTCTGCAAAATGTCAGAAAGCGGTCGACCGGTCCGGTCGACCGCTCCCATCGCCTTTCGTTACTATCTTCCAGAGAGGTCGTCGGTCGGCCGGTACGGTCGACCGAAATCTCGACTTTCAAATCGGTCGACCGCGCCGGTCGACCGACGGTGGCTCTGCTCGTTTTCTATGTTTTCTTAAGTGTTTGCGGTCGACTGAATTTTCGGTCGGTCGACCGAAGTGTTTTTTGGTCGACCGAAAATTCCTTTCGGTCAACCGATTTCCTCTTTTGTCAGCTGCGACTTTTTAAACGGTCGTTTGCCTGTAACCTGGATTACTGTGCTTACACTTAATAATGTTTGGCACAGTCTGAGGTCAGGTGCTGATAAAGGAGATTACTTACTAATTTGAGAAGATTGTTTCTTTGTTTTTTATTGATAAATCTCTTCTATAAAAACCCCAGTCTTCTTCTTCTCAAAGTGTGAGAAAAATTTTCAAATCCTGTTTTCTCTCTGTTTTAAGTGTGATTCACTTCCCAGCTTCAGTAAACCTGCTCTTTGCTATAGGGGCTGTGTAAAGAGAGGTTCTTGTATCTTTTCTTCTGCTGTGTGAGTGAGATCTTGTGTAAGATCTACTCTGAGGGTGTGATCTGTTGGGATCAAACTGTGTAGTGAGAGAGATCTGTGGAGATCGCTGTGTAGACGAAGTTCCGGCTTTCAAACCGGGTGTGTAGTGGATTTCTCCTCGAGAGTGGGGAGCGGGGACGTAGGCCAGAGGGCCGAACCTCGTTAACACATCGCGCGTCAAGGATAACAAACTCCTAACCCTATCTCTCTTACTTTTATCGCATTTTTGTTTTGTGGTTTGCTTGTGCTGAATTTTATATTGCATATTAGAGCCTCTTGACCCTAATCACCCCCCCTCTAGGGTCCAACAGAGTTTGCCTACGGCATGAACTCATCTAAGTTTGAGTTCGCCTATGGCATGAACTCGCTTAAGTTCACTTACGACATTGACTCGTCTAAACAAAGCATTGAGCGGTAAAGGCAGCAAAGGCAATAACAAAGAAAAGAAGAACAGGGATTCATGCACAAATATTGGGAAACCAAAGAAACGTGAAATTCATTCATGAATTTTTTTTTAGACAATACGTTCAAACAAAGTTATGACATACATCCAAACAAGTCATAGCAGTGTACCTTGAATGAAACAAGTCAAAACGTCTAGAAATAAAACTACCCTAGTCCTACGAGCCTAGTCTAGCAGACGAAAGGATGCAAGTTCCGCCTAGGCAGGAGCCACCCTCTTGGCGTGGATCTCATGAGCCTGGTCCTCCGCCTCCTTTCTAGCTCAATAGCCCGGTGGATGTCTTGGTCTTCAAACTCTAGCCCCCTCAGTGTGGCTTCCTCATCAGCCAAAGCGGCCCTCATGCGGGCGACGACAGACTGAGAAGCCTCCTACTTGATCTGCACCAAGCATCACTGATCGTCCAAGAGGGTGATGTGGGACTCCAAGTCTGTGATGCCTCTTGCACGAACCTCCTTCTCCTACGCTCCGTGGTGCTGAGCCTGAGCCATGAGATGCTCTACTTCGCTTCCCAAGTCTGCCTACAGCATATCCTCCAAGCGCGTCAAGCATGACTCCAAATCGATGAGCCTCGTCATGCAGCGTGAGAAAAGGTGGGGTTCATCTAGGCATCTGAGGTCGACCGCGTGGTCGACGAGAGATTGCTTGAGGTCCACATAGACCTCCCAACCAAGGCCAACGAGAGAGATCACCTGCTAGACCGCATTCTCCAATTATTGATGAGGGCCCGCATGGAAAGAGAGCCTGGAAGAGGCAGCTCTTGGTCACGAGCAAGCACCATGATGGGTGGGACATAGAAATGAAACTCTAGTTCGGATCCTATAGAGGGAGAGGACAGTGAGGTCGGAGCAGTGGCGGCCCCTTCTGGCGGCCCCTTCCGACTCATCGTCTAAAAGAAGGATCGGTTCAGGAGGAGCCCCTCCTTGAGCTGCATGATGCAAAGAAGAAATTAACAGATAGGTCAACGAAACTCGCCTGTCATAGGTGAACTTGCCCATAAAGCAAAGATCGCCTAACGCAAAGAACCCGTCTCTCCGGTAGGGGTCGCCTGACAAATGTATAAGCAGGCGTACCTCGCCGGAAGTGACGAAGCCCGCTATGAGAGATGAACAAGAACTGTTCATCTTCCCACATGCCACAGACCATGGACTCACCTCAGTCTGACAACTCCTAACCTACAAAAAGGGGTTAGAATGATACCTCCAGTGGCGGCAG